AAATGTTGCGAGGAGAAAAACTAATTTCTCTTTTGTGCCATGTAATCTTCAATGTCTGCTTGAAGAAATGGCAGATACGTGGATTTAAAATCTCATCTCAGCATTGGAACTTCCAGCATTGCAATGTTTGCCTGGCACTGCACAAGAAATTTGATTGCCATTTTTAAGTTTCTAAAAGGGCTAGAAAATTTAGGTCATGACAGGCTGTTTCAACTAGTTCTCTGCTCATGCGGTGTTCCTCAGGTCTCTGTCCTTGTCCCCTCCTCTTCAATATCTGTATACTCTCTCTCAGTGACATCATCCGCAGACATGGGTTCAACTTCCACATGTATATGGATGACACCCAACTCTATTTCTCTGCCTCCACCCTTGACTCCAGGACCACTGCTGTCCTGACAGAATGTCTGTCAGACATCAAGTCCTGGATGAGAGCTAACTTTCTTCAGTTGAACATCAAGAAGACCGAGGCTCTCCTGATTGGCTCCCGTCAGCGCCTCCTCACCTCAGGCACTGACAGCATCACCATCCATGGTTGCACACTCCACCTCACTGAGCCAGTCCGGAACCTTAACATCTTCTTTGACTATTAACTATCCTTTCTACCCCACATCTGTGCCATGACCCGCTCCTCCTTCCCCCACCTCCGCAACATCGCCCGGCTCCAGTACTGTCTCACACCACAGGCTGTCAAAACCCTCATACACGCATTCATAACATCCAGGCTTGACTATGCAAATTCCTTGTTTGTTGGCCTCCCCAACTCCTCCCTCCATAGGCTGCAAATCATCCAGAACTCTGCAGCCTATGTCCTCTCCCGCACCAGGCTCTATGACCCTATCACTCCCATCCTCGCCCGACTCTACTGGCTTCCCATCGCACAGAGGATACAGTTCAAAATCCTGATCCTCACCTTCAAAGCCCTCCATGGCCTCACTCCCCCTACCTCTTCGACCTCCTAACCCCCTACCCCTACCTATGATTGAAATTCAGAACGAATCTACAGAAACACTATTTCAGTGAGTGAATAGTGATCCTGTAGCAGGTTCCCTAGGGAGATGGATAAAGCAGGAAGTGTTGATTCCTTCAAACACATATTAGATAGTTTTCTTTTAGGAAATAACATTATGGGATACAGTATAAAGGTAGTTTGGGATGTATGTGCACGCAACCGCCAGGAAGGTGAAAGGCAAACTGGATGGACCTTGGTCTTTCTTTTGTCTAGTATTTCTTATATTGTTATGCGTGTCAGGCTAGATTAATTCCAGAGATTTCTGACCAGGTGCGAGTCCTTTGCTAACCCACAATATTTTGATCAAATGAACAAGCAGCCGAAAGGTATGGAAAGGTATTTAAATATTGCAGAAATACAAAAGTGAGGCAAAGAAGTGCTGTACAGAACAGCAGAAGTTACATAAAGGGAGATGAGAAGAGAAACAGCACTGCAGCAAAGATTGTGTAACAATTATATACTACCACTACATTGGTCAGCAATTTTCCTGTATAGGTTTCCTGAGGGAAATTCACCATACTTTTCTTGTGGTGATAACAAATGTGAATATCTCCTGGCCTGTTTTCAGGTGCAGTGTTTGAATGAAACAGAATGTGACTGTGGTGTCCTCCTGGGTGCATAAAAGAAAATAATACAGAAGGCAAATGGTGCAGCAACAAAATACCAGAGGAGGTCAACTAGCACCTTTGGAACCATTTTATTAAAGGAAGGAAATGTAGCGCGAAATCAAATTTACTTGTTTTGAAACAAAATACATGTATGGTAATAAATAGAACTCTGTTTCACACAAATAAAGTTGATCAGACTTGGATAAGGAATAGTCAGTATTGTGTAATGAACATGGCCTTCACAAAAAGTGAGTTGGTGTTATAGGAAGCTTGTGTAATGACTTTTGCTCCGTAGTTCACAAGTTACTTATCTAACACGAGTCACTGACTCATATTTTGATCACTCGGGTCAGGATATTTTTTATTTTTTATTTGATGTGCACAGGATAACAGTCCAACCAGAACTAATCTCCTGCAAACCAATGGGCATCTTAAAATGCAACCACTGCTGCTGTGTGCAAATTGGCTGCCACCTGCAAAATAAAGGTTAATACTTGCATTTGTTATAGCACCTTAGAAAGTCACCAAGATGTCTCAGACCCCATCAGGGATTAGAATAGGATTATTGACTGTATATTTGTAGACAAATATACTTTACTGTATAACCTGTGAAGTGCTTTAAGATGTCCTCCTGATGTGAAAGGCTCTAATTTAAATATAAGGATTATTATCGCTTATTACTAACAAGAATGAGAACAAGTGCCACTACCATGACAATTTTCCCACTATGATGAGACTGGGTTGGTCACTTTATGTTTGTTTGTGAATATCAGCTTGGTTGGGATACTCTTGAGTATGGTGATGGATTCCCGGGTGTGTCAGACACTCGGCTGAAGTGCCCCAAAAATTAATTGTTTGTGGGATATTATTGTGTGCAATAATATTGGCTGTCGTACAATTCACATTAAAATCCTGCGAAGTGCTTTCAGATGCATGACTATATCAAAGGCAACGATTATAATTATTACTACTATTATTATTTCCAAGCATTCCAGAATGCCAAGTCCAGAATAAAATATCTCATAGGTTTTGTAAAACGTATGTATAAACTAAACTTTAAAACCACAAAATTAGAACATTATAAACAAAATAATAGATTAACATGATTATTTTGGTTGAAGAAGGCTCTTCAGTCCATTTGATCTCACTCCTCCAGAATAAGCATCACAGCATCAAGCGGATTTTAAATGAATCTAATGTCCTCAACCATTCTTCCTGGCAGCCTGTTCTAGTCGCAGGTTACCTTCTGGGTAAACAGACAATACAAAACATATAGTGCTCCCCGTTGGTGAATTAGATGCCCTTTTTTCACGGAATATTGATAATATTAAACAACTTCCAATACTGCATCTCCTACATGAGAATAACAGCTCAAAATGTTGTTAGTGATAATTACTCAATGTCACAGGATAGCTTCATCAAACTTCACATGAACAACATAATCAATCTTAATTATCAGTGTGTATCTATAATATTTTTTCTACAATTGACACAATGCCTGTACTCAAAGCTCAATTGAAAATGTAGTAACATTTCAAAATAAAATAATCAAAAAAAAAAAAAATTTCACTGATGAAAATCTGCATGGTTTGAGCTGTATAAGCTCATTTAAAATTTATGACAATAATACAACTTTTCCACTATTTTTAGTCCTAATGCCCCTACAATTTATGAAGCACTCTCTAAGTTTAAAGGCCATTGGATCTTTGACTTAGAAGAAGCTTGTGACAGTTCTTGGGCAATACAACTTCCATTTTTTTCTCAGAGTTGAACGCCACCAAACACCACCTCAGGCTACAGTTATGAGGAGAGATTGGAGAAGCTGGTTCTGTTTTCATTTGAGAAGGGTTTTTTGGGGGAGGAACATGATAGTGTACAAAATTATGAGTAGTTTTGATAGGGAGAGGTTATCCCCATTGATAAGAGAAGTCAGTGACTAGGGGGCATAGTTACAAGATAGCCACAAGAGCAGTGAAAGGAGAAGTTCAAGAGGAATTTGAACACCCAAAAATTTGTTGGGATGTGGAATGCCCTGTCCAGTAAGATATAATAACAATAATAATAATAATCCTATTTGATAGAGCACACATCATAGAGACATCTCTGGGATGAGTGAAGGGCACTATATAAATGCAAGTTGTTTTTGTTGTCTCAAAACGCTTCACAGGATATACTGTAAAGTGCAGTAACTCTATTTTATAACATAATAATAATCCCTCCAAAACCAAAAACAATAATAAATTGGTCATTTTCAATCTACGACTGTTTGTGGGACATTGCTGTGCGCAATTGGCTGCCGCGTTCGCCCACAAATATACAGTCAATTCACTTTACAGTGTATTCTGTGAAGCGCTTTGGGACGTCCTCCCGATGTGAAAAGCGCTATATCAAATGCAAGGATTATTATTATTATTTATAGGTGAACTGGTGCAGCCAATTGTGCACAGCTTGAAGGGTTATGTGGATAAGGTGGGGCAGTGGACTCAAGTCATTTTTCTATTCTGTGAGCCAGTACAGAACTGGTGGGCCAAATGCCCTTTGTCTGCGCTGCAGATTTCTAGGTTTCTATGAGAACAGCTTAAGAAATTTACAGTTTGTCTCTTTATTTTTGTTGCTCTCTGTTGACACTTTCACACACCAACACTTCATTATTTTCTTTCCTATGGCAGCTCAGGAGTCAAAATGTCCTTCCGCCAGTGGTCCATGCAATGAGAAATATCCACATACCTACAGTACACTGGAAAACGATACTGACTTATTTCATAATGATCTAAAATGTTGCATCAAATTTATCGCATTGAAACATTGTCGAAGAAAAAGTTACAGAATTTCTCTTTGATGCCCAGTAAATATTAGTTTTATTTCCTGAAAAAACACCAACAATAATACTTTAGTTTGGTTTGAACCTCTCATTCCTTCCCCTGACGCTACTCTGTGCCCTCACGGTATTAGTAACACCAAATGAAGAGGTTTAAGTATTAATATTTGAAAGCACCATATCAGGCGGTGGGGGGGCTTTTTGCTATCTTTTCACGCACTTTTTTTTCTACAGTTTTTTCCAAAAGCAACTGCATTGTTATTGTATTACCCCGAGTCCTCACCAGTCCCCAATCACAGAACAACTGACAGCGTTTGTATTGACAAATACAGAGCACAACACAGAGCAGCTCTCACCACCTGTGGATCTGGAACTCCATTCACACTGACAGAGAGAGGGAGAGTTCACCTGATTACACAGCGCCGGGACCGCCTTCCTCCTTATTAAAAATTAGGTGAATGCAAAGCAGCTACAAACCCCAGTGACAAACTAACGTCGGAGCACTTCACAATATCAGGCGAATTTGCAGCAACACGTAAAAAGAGGTAAAACGTTTCTTACTTACTGTGTCTCCATTGCCGCTGGGCTGCTAGAGGCTGGGGTGTGGGCTGGGGGCTGGGGGGTGTGGGCTGGGGGCTGCTGGAGGCTGGGCTGGGGCTGCTGACTGGGGCTGGGGGCTGCTGGGGTGTGGGCTGGGGGCTGCTGACTGGGGCTGGGGGCTGCTGGGGTGTGGGCTGGGGGCTGCTGGAGGCTGGCTGGGGGCTGCTGACTGGGGCTGGGGGCTGCTGGGGTGTGGGCTGGGGGCTGCTGGGGTGTGGGCTGGGGGCTGCTGGGGTGTGGGCTGGGCTGCTGGGGTGTGGGCTGGGGGCTGCTGACTGGGGCTGGGGGCTGCTGAGGTGTGGGCTGGGCTGCTGGGGTGTGGGCTGGGGGCTGCTGACTGGGGCTGGGGGCTGCTGAGGTGTGGGCTGGGGGCTGCTGACTGGGGCTGGGGGCTGCTGAGGTGTGGGCTGGGCTGCTGGGGTGTGGGCTGGGGGCTGCTGACTGGGGCTGGGGGCTGCTGGGGTGTGGGCTGGGCTGCTGGGGTGTGGGCTGGGGGCTGCTGACTGGGGCTGGGGGCTGCTGGGGTGTGGGCTGCTGGCGTCAGGACTGAACTGAAAGCACCAACTGTGGCCACACACCTGAGTCACTGCTCACACCTGAGTCACTGCTCACACCTGTCACTGAGCTCACCTGGCCATCAGGCGGCGTGACATCACAGCAACCCACAGTGTGAGGCAATGCACAGGTAAGAGCAATTTGTTGAGGGGGAGGGCTGATTAGGTAAACTAATGCACAACTTGTTTATCAAAGATACAGTATTAAAAAGTGCAAATTTCCAGATGTCCGAAGTCTTTCCTGTTGATTGTGGCAGCTTCACTGCCCCACCCACAAAACAAATGTTACCAACTTTATCTCATTATTCTAATCTGTTTTGGGATTACTGAATCCCTCAGTTTAAATTTTCTGCAAATATAATTAAAGTCATGTAACATTAAGATTTTTTGAGCTTTCTTAAACGTTGGTCAACATATTCCATCTTCATTTAAAAAGTAATGTAACAAGTACAATGTTTTGACTTCCAACTATTTCCAACTGTCATTCTGTGCTATTACTTTTCTGAATTCCACACTTAACATTGTATAAATTTTGAAGACGTAAGTATTTGATCACTCAATCCATGATGGTTCGTGGGACACTACTGTGCGCAATTGGCTGCTGCGTTTCCCCCTCAAAAGAGCAGTGAATCTATTGTACAATATATTTTGTGAAGTGCTTTGAGAAGTCTCAACGGCATTATAAAGCGCTGTATGAAATACAAGAATTATTATTTTATTAAAAATTACAATTTTGTTTGTTAAATATACTTGGTTCACCAATCACGTATAATGTATCCCATCATGGATTTACCCAATATTTAATCAAGGCGAAAAAGTTTAGCTTTCTTTTCAATTCAATGAGCTAATTTGCAATGAATGGCTCAGATGATAGCACTCGCATTCAGTGCTTGGGCTGTGCTGTATTTTCAGAGGTGCCTTTCCTCTGATGAAATGTTGAACTAAAGTCCTGTCCTGTCTATTCATGCAGACAATAAATATCCAATGGCACTATTCAATAAAGTGAAAGTTTCGCCCAGTGTCTTGGCCAACAATCCCCAAATAAAATTGGTCATTCATGGCTGTTTGTAGGACATTATTGTGCATAAATTGGCTTCCGTGTTCACTGATAAAATACCAGTCACTACACTTCATAATAAATCCTGTGAAGCACTTTGAGACATTTTGAGCCTGTTGAGACGTTTCAAAGACATGATAAGGTGCTATATCAAATGACAGATTATATAGCGCCCTCCACGCCGGACGGCGTCTCGGAGTGCTTTACAGTAACGGATCCCGGGGCCGAGCCAGGGGAGGAACAGTCTTCAGCCGAGATCTGAAAATCGGAAGAGAGGGGACGAGGCGAAGGGAGTGAGGAAGGGAGTTCCAGAGCCTTGAGGCGTAGTGACTGAAGGCACGGCCGCTGAGGGTGGAGCTGAGGATTCGGGGAACGAGGAGGAGGTCAGACCCGGTGGAACGAAGGCAACGGGCACTGTTTTGAGGAGAGTGGAGGTCAGAAAGGTAGGGGGGTGCGGAGGAGTGGAGGGATTTGAAGACAAGGGTGAGAATCTTGAAGTCAATCCTCTCTGGGATAGGCAGCCAGTGCAGTCTGGCAAGGACTGGGGTGATCGGAGTTTGGTGCGGGTGAGAATGTGGGCGGCAGAGTTTTGAATGATTTGGATTTTATGGATGGTAGTGGAGGGGAGACCGGCGAGGAGGGCGTTAGAGTAGTCCAGCCAAGAGGTGACAAAGGCATGGATCAGGGTTTCAGCGGATTTCGGAGTGAGGTATTGGCGGAGACGGGCGATCCGTCGGAGGTGGAAGAAAGCGGTGCTGGTGAGGGACCGGATGTGGGGGAGGAAGGATAATTGGGGGTCGAATCTGATGCCTAGGTTGCGAACGGGTTCAGAGAGTTTTAGGGGGAGGTCGGGTAGGTGGAGGAGGTGAGAACTGTGAGATTTTAGACGTTGACGAGAGCCAAAGAGTATGGCTTCCGTCTTGTTAACATTCAGCTGAAGGAAATTTGCACTCATCCAGCCCCTGAGATCTGACAGGCAGACTGACAGAACATCAGGGGACTGGGGGCCGCAAAGAGAGGTGGAAAAATAGAGTTGGGTGTCGTCTGCATACATGTGGAAATGTACCCCATGTCTGTGGATGACATCCCCAAGAGGGAGCATATAGGTCAGCAGGGGGGTCAAGGATGGATCCTTCGGGTACCCCGCAAGTGACCGGGTGAGAGCGGAAGGAGAAGCCGTTTGTGCAGATGTACTGCTGGCGGGTTGTGAGGTAGGACTCGAACCAGGTGAGTGCGGTCCCAGTGATGTGGGTGACAGAGGAAAGACGGTGGAGGAAGATGGCATGATCGACTGTGTAGAACGTGGTGGAAAGGTCCAGAGCACAAGAAGGCAGAGGGAGCCCTGGTCACAGATAGAGAGGATGTCGTTTGGGACTTTCACAAGCGCAGTCTCTGTTCGGTAGGCAAGGCAGAAACTGGACTGGAGGGGCTCAAAGAGGGAGTGGGAGGAGAGGGGTGCGCGAAGTTGATTTGCAACAACGGGTTCTGGGATCTTTGCGACGAAGGGCAGATTAGAAATAGGGCGGTAATGCTGGGGTTTGAGGGATCTAGGGAGGGTTTCTTGAGGAGGGGAGTGATGACAGCAGGGACTGATCCGGAGGAGAGGGACTGGTTGATGATGTCAGCCTGTAGCGGGCAGAGGAGGGGGAGCTGGGTGACCAGTAAGTTGGTGGGGAGGGGGTCGAGACAGCAGGTGGTGGGTTTCATTGAGGTGATGGTGGGTGAGCGGGAGGGATGGGGAGGAAGGAATGTAGGATGGGGTTTGTGGTAGGAGCAGATGATGGGGAAGGTGAGGGGGACAGAGAGGGCAAGGTGGTGGGTGACAAGGGGCTGGTGGATGAGGCTGCCTGGCGGATGTTAAGTATTTTAGATGAAAAGAAGTCCATGACCTCCTCACACTTGGCATTTGATGTGAAGATTGAGGAGGCCTGAGTGGGGCCACGGAGGAGGTAGTGGTTGGCGGAAAAAAGGATTTTAGGATTTTGTTTAGACTCCAAGATGATATTGGAGTAGAAGGTGGTTTTTGCGCATGTCAAACAACGGCGGTAGCTGTGGAGATGCTCGAGCCATAGTTGGCAGTGAACTGTCCGTGTGGAAGAGATGTCTGTGTGGAAGGAGCTATTATGGAGTCCTGTAGCTCAGTGGTTGAGCACTCGCTTTGCAAGCTAGAGACCTGAGTTCAATTCCAGGCAGGGCGAAACCTTGGGCAAGTTTCCTTACTCCACACGCCTAATAATAATCCCTCCAAAACCAAAAAAAACCAATAATAAATTGGTCATTTTCAATCCATGACTGTTGGTGGGACATTGCTGTGCGCAATTGGCTGCCGCGTTCGCCCACAAATATACAGTCAATTCACTTTACAGTGTGTTCTGTGAAGCGCTTTGGGACGTTCTCCCGACGTGAAAAGCGCTATATCAAATGCAAGGATTATTATTATTATTATTATTATTATTATTATAATAATAATCCTTGCATTTGATACAGTGCTTCATTACGTCTTCGAGGTGTCTCTAAGCGCTTCACAGAATATATTGTAAAATGAATTGACTGTAGTTTGTAAGTGAAACGCGGCAGCCAATTGTGCACAGCAATTAATGCAACTGTTAATTCAATGAGCTGTAATCTTTTTAGAAGTCTCACAAGCGAACATTACCAAATTTTTTCTGAAATCCAAGTTTGGTGACACTGACTGACATGGTTGCACAGAGGAGCCCAAATAATTTTTTCTTAGTTTCTAACAAAATTTGTCATAGGTTGTAATGATGCAGGCATACGAATACTGGAATCATCACAGACAGCGGGAAATTCATACAGTGTATGGGAAATCTATATAAATCTAGATCAAGTTGTAGATGCATTTATTAGAAATCACCCATGTAGGCTATTTTCCTCCTCATTTTGAATCTGCTGTGAATTCAGATTCACTTTGTAAATACTTTGTGTGTGTGTATATACTTATATAGTTTTACACTTGAAATATAGTTATTATTTTAACATTTTGCTCTTGGATTTTAATCATTTTTAAATTTAAAAAATTGTTTTAATTGTTTTTTAATATTTCGCTTTTGTAATAAGTGGAACAGGTCAGACCTCTCCAGGTTGAAATCCTGGCTCTGTCTTGTTAGGGGATACCTGATTGGTAGACCCCACATTGTTCAAGTTAATTTTCATTTGAAACTCAGTTCAACACTGAATATAGGGAAGGTCAGTCTCAAAATAATAATAATCCTTGCATCATATCTTCGAGACATCTCAAAACGCCTTGCGGAATATACTTTTTTTTGTGGGCAAAACGCGGCAGCCAATTGCACACAGCAAACCATCGTGCATTGAAGTGACTCATTTATTATAATTTTTTTTGAAGGAATTATTAACCCCGGAAAAGCGATCCGCCA